TTTCTTTGGAGGTTTGCCTTGTGTTTGTTCTTTATCAAGCAGAACAAGGTTAATATGCTTTTTTTTCTCATCTACAACTTGATTTATTTATTCAAGGACCGAGGTTTACTGACGGTTTGCATTACTGTGTTTATTGCCACTCAGTGTCACATTCTGCACACTTCTAACCTTGGAGTAATGATGCACTTTTCTGCCACTGAGCGGCTCCACTGGGGCAGCTGGGGGTCCAGTGCCTTGCTCAAGAGCAGGGTGCTTATTAAAAGGAGAGGATGTAGTGACCTCCTTTACACAGATTTTTGCCATGCGCATTCTATGAAGTCCCCCCCCCCATTAAAAATGAAGGACTGATACAATTAGGGGCCTCAAACAGCCATTCATGGGTCCATAAGGCAGTTATCATTGGACAGCCGGGTCACTGTGTATCCAGCATACTAATTTAAAGGTAGCATCTCTCATTCTCATATACACACACACACACAACACACACACACACACACACACACAGACAGACACAGACACCATGAGCAAACACAATTCTCCCACCATCTCTCTCCGTGTCTAGCACCTCTCGTTCTCTGTCTTCGTTTGCTGCCTCACACAAACACGCATCATAAACAAACATCTTTCTTGCTCGCTCAATCTCTCTTTCTGTCATACACACACTCATCTTGAGCAAACACCTTTTCCACTTAGTCGCATACGTATAAATATAACCCTACACCTAAACACACACACACACACACACACACACCCACAAACACACAAACTCTAAGCCTAGACACTGATTCTCACTTATCTGTGCACTACCTCTCACATACACACAGATTAAGTAAACATGCAGAGGATTTTCGATCAGAAGATAAACTCACAGGGTTAAAGGGCAGCTGGTCTCCTGTACACAACCAGGATGAATGAAACGCTTTTTTAATGCAAGAGTGAGCATTGACAGAGACACAAAAGAGCACACATACTTTGACACTATAGAGGCATCACTCCATCACATTGCGCCACATCACTACATGACGGTAAGACTAACGGCGACAAACAGTAGGAGCTGTGACGTATAAGATACAGTGGGTGCATTTGTAAATGAATATGTGTGTGTGTGTGTGTGTGTGTTTGGGAACTGTGGAGAGAAGAAAAAGTAGGAGAGGGCTAATGTATTGTATTAGGGTGGAAGAGAGATTGAGTTCTCATTACAATTGAGAAAAATGGCTGCCAAGACCAAGTGTACAGAGGGAACAAGTGGAGGTTTACTGATTGCTCTTCGTATCTAGGCGAGAGTGTCCCTACCCAGATCCTTGGAGGAGCTGTCCCACCTTGAATAGCCCCCAAATCCTAAGGAGTTGTTTGCTGTGGGGTTCAGTGCCAGTTTGGATGTTTCACATTTAAATTTACTTATTTGTTCATTCATCTCGCGCCACTTGTGTTCACCCCTGACCCCTGGGACCCCACGTCCGTCTGACTGGAGTCTCAGAAGCCCGACTGGGCCATCGTGGGCCAACTATGCATAAATAGTGGATAGTGGGCAGAGGTGAGGAGAAGAGAGTAAGTAGACAGGGGACAGACAGAGAGTGATAATAATAATAATAATATCGCTGAAGGAAATGATAAATAATGGAGAAGTGTACAGGGCATATTGCAGTCTTCAGGTTGAGAGACAGGTAAAATAAAAAAGAGGGTAAAAGAAAAATTACCAGCACCAAAACAAACAAATAAAAAAATTACTGTTATCACCATCAACACTGCCACTATTACTACTATCACTACTACTAATAATAATAATAATAATAATAATACAGAGTGAGGTTGACAAGCCAAAGCAATGACATTCCCCCGAAGAGATCATACGAGAAACAGAGACGGAGACCACCCAGAGAAGAGAGTTTTTGGGAGTGAGCAGGGATAATATTGTGTTGTCTTATGTATTGTGGCAAGTGTGACTCAGGCATTCAAGGCTGTTAAATCTGGATTGGAAACCAGATTATATCAAATGTTGCCACCTTATTCTTAGTGGCGGACATTTTGCATTGGTATGTGCTTTAGTAAAAAAATTTCCGTGTTGGTTTTGGATTTCCTGTTGGAATATGGTGTTTTTGGCTAGGGCAGTGAGGAGAATTGAAGAAGTGCTACTGGATGTTGTAAAAAGTGATTAGTCACCTAGTATACAGAGTTGCGGGGAAAGAGGGATGCAGCAGCACAGTATGTGCATCAGTTGATCAGTGACTTGGTGCCAAAAGTGATTAATAGGAGGACGGTGCCAGGTGGCATGCAGGTAAGTGTCTGAGTTTTGTGAGCAAGCTGTATGAGATGTAAGTCAGAGCTGTAGTGCAGTGAAAGCTTACATTGCAGATTTTGATCCAGAAGTCAGCACTGGTACGATCATCATGGCAAGATCTTGTTCTCATTTATAGAGTGGAATGTCATCCTTGTTAGAGATTATGTATATTTTTGACAAATTTCTTGATAGATGATGTGAGTTTGGTCAGTTTAGCCACTAATGAACGCTGTGCTACACTACTTGGTAGTAACTTTGGGGATTTCAATTGTAGAAAAACCAGAAACAGTTTACTCCCAATGCAGAACTTGGGCATCAAATGCTGAGGTGAGTGAGTGTTATTATAAAGAAGTGCTCCAGGTCCACAAAGTGAAATTTCTTCCACGAGAGGGTGGGGTTTTTTTTGTTCACGGAGAAGACTGGATTAATCCAGATGGGTGTGCGAGAAGAGAGGTGTATTTGGAGTTTGTAATTTGAAGCACTTTCCATCAAGCTGTCAGAGTTGATACAATGGCCTTTCAAACAGCAGTATTCCTTAATGGCTCGGCTAATGAATGGGAGATCTGAAATGAGGAAATCCTGGCGTAAGGTCTGTTTGGGAACAAATCACTTTAACTGTTCCAGTAAAAAGCAGCAGCTCCTGTCATTCACACAACAAGGAACCTCATCACCTTATTTAATGTCATGTGAGCCTTAACACACTGCTACAGTACTGCTACAGTCCTCTGATAGAGACATTAGAAGTGGTATATACACCGCATGACCAAATGTATGTGCACACCCAGACATTAATTCTATGTGTGATTGTTTTTTTTGTCAGACCAAAGCGATTTATCTGCTGGTATGTAAGCCTCCACTCTTCTGGCTTCAGGCTTTTCCAGCAGATTTTGGAACCTGGCTGCAGGGATTTTATCCCCATTCAGCCACAAGGGCATTAATGAGGCCGGTCACTGATGTTGGGAGATAAGGCCTGGCCCGCAGTCAGCTTTCCAGTTCATCCTAAAGATGTTAGATGGGGTTGAGGTCGGAGCTCTGTGCAGGCCAGTCCTTCCACACTAAGGTCAAAAACACATTCCTTTATGTGCCTGGCTTTCAGCACAGTGGCAATACCATGTTGAAAGAGGGAAGGGACCCCACAAACTGCCGCCACAAAGTTGTAGCAGGAAGATTCCTCTTAACTGGAACTAAGAGGCCAAGCTCGAACCATGAACACAGACCCAGACTGAAAGTGTCCACAAACAGGCAATATGCTACACGTCTGAATGTCCTCTTGTTACATATACACATACAGTGGGTACTGCTTTTTTAAAAGGTGTACGTTTTTACTCATAAGCCAACACCAAGTGCACACACAAGTTGTTTCCTGCTGCAAGAAGACATTAATCACAGTACTTCACTGCTATTAGCGCGGCTCAGAAAAAAACTTCACTTAAGGTTCTACAAATTGAAAGGAAACAAGGAAAGAAAACACAAATGAGCTGATTTAAACAAAAGGTTTACAGTTTGCCTTATCCCCCTTGGGTTTCCCTTTCCTTGCTGAGCTGCAGTGGAGGGATAGTAACACAAAGAGGGACTTTACATACTAAACAGACTGTACCTTTAGACGATACTCACTTCATTCTGCTGGAGTCTCAAATGAAATTCAGATAAACTTTGGAATGTGTTTTTGCTCAGAAAGAGGACTGGACAGAAGGAATAATTACAGCCAGTAAAACACCTTTCAGTGTATACTGCTTGTGATTAATTGACTGTTTGTGAACCTGTCCTTTACACAATTTAAGATAAGGAAAATGAAACAGTTATGGTTCTATTCATACTTCTACATATTGTTTAAACCAGATTTTCACATAAATGATAATGTTATCTATTTCTGGATTCTTTTTTTCTACAAATATTAAAAATAAACACATCATTTAAGGATTTTATAATAATTCAAACAAAATGCCTGAACAGTCTAATCTATTGACGCATGACCTTAACCTACAGGAACACACACAGCGCCTAGAATCAGATATTAATGGAGAAAACTCTCTCGCCCATTGCCAACACCACTCTGTCACTATTCCACATGCGACACTTTCTCAGCTGCACACATTCACATATGCGCACTGCCACGCACGCACATGCACACTGTAGCTGACCAACATCATCACTGTCTGCCTCCTCCTGTGTTCATGCTGCAGGACCAACACGCGCAGTCCCTCTCCCCTCTTGTTCTCTCTCTCTCTCTCTCTCTCTCTCTCTCTCTCTCTCTCGCTCTCACTCACACAAACACGCACGCACACGCACCCTGACCTGCCAGCATCAGTAGCCTCGCGCAATCTCTGCTGAAACGGCGGAACAAACCCGTGGTGACACGTGTGCGCACAGCGCGCGGCTCCAACAGACCAAGCGTGTCCACGCACCGCGCACACACATTGGCCACCACACACACACACACACACACACACAATTACCAAAGCTGCAGGTGCTTCTCAATCAGCCCACAGGACACATGCGCAAAAAAAACGCGCGCGCGCGCACACACTTCCAGTGATCCAGAAAACTCTTAACACATGAAGCAGAAACTGCAAAGATTCAAAGTGTCTGCAGAAACAAGCTGCTCACATTTCAGCCCACATTTAATCAGCAACAAACCCACATCCGCGTGAAAACACACGCTGGCACACACGCACGTGCTGGCGCAAACACAGGCGCACATGAATTTGTTTTGCCTTCCTACCTTCTTCGTGCATCCGCTGCAGACAGAAAGTGAGGTTCCTCCGCCAACCCGGCATGGTGATGAAGGAGAGGAGGAAGTGGAGAAGAGGTCTAGGTGATGAGGAGGATGAGGGTGAGGGTGATGATGATGAGGGGTGGTGGAGAGGAGTGATGATGATGAGGAGAGTAGATCCTGTCCGGTGGAGGTGATGACACGCAGGCGACAGCAGCCCCGGCAAATATAACGATTCCCCCTGTTTCTTCTTCTTCTTCTTCTTCTTCTTTTTCTTCTTCTTCTTCTTCTTTTCTCCTTCTGTTCTTCTCCTCCTTCTTTCTTCCTCCTCCGTGTTTCTCCCCCGGTGTGTCTAACGGTAAACGGCGAGCAGCGGCTGCTCTCTCCGGCAACGACCCCGCTGACAGTCCGTGTGACAGTCGGTCCCGCTGCGGCACCAATGGTCTCTCTCTCTCTCTCTCTCTCTCTCTCTCTCTCTCTCTCTCTCTCTCTCTCTCTCTCTCACCCCCTCTAGCTCTGCTAACACAGTCCAGTCACCTCTCTCTCTTTCATTCTCTCTTTCTGTCTCTCTATGTTTGCCTCTCTCTGTGTGTCAAACTGTCTCTCCGTCTCACTCCCTGGCTGTCCTCACTTTGTTTTCTTTAATTTGCTCTGTCCCTCTCTCCTTGTCTCTTACTGTTTTGTCCTTTACTCTCTGTAGGCTATCCAATAATTTTTCTCTCTCTGAGTTCATTTTCAGTTCAAAGGTTGTTGTTTTTTATTTGCTTATCAAGACAAAATATTTCATTTCCAAGTCAATTTACATAAATACATTTGAGTGCTTTTGAATGAATATTAAAATATATTTATATACTAAGGCTTCCTGCAAATAGGCATGCACTGAGCCAAAATGCACACAGCCTACTAAGCATGTGCAGCCGAACTTTGTTCAAACCAGCAGAACTTCTACTTTTCTTTCTTTCTTTTTAATTTGAGATCCCACAGATATCAAACATGTCAGGCTGAAGTTTTGGGAAATGTGTAATTATGGAATGGTGCATAAATGAAAAACATGAAGCGTTGGGTTTGAATATTTCACTCAATGTATATGTAATCAATGAACAGTTGGAACAAGATGATATGAAATATAAGCGATACTGTCAGTGTGGAGTGAGAATGTTAAAGCTACTTGGGGAGGGAAGGGAAATCTGGACATTAAAGCGCAACACCGACACCGGTGTTGTGAGTTGTTGTGATTAGACCTGTGCTCAGGTTTGAGTTGGAGCTATGCTGATAATTATCTGAGGTCACCAAACTTCATGTACTAATCAACCATTTTCACGGCAGACAGTTTGTTATAGCAGGAAAAGTGGAGGTGGAATCGACAACTGCATTCTGTCTAAGTGAACTACTCCCAGGGGAATTGTATTGTGCATGCAGACTCATTGGCCTGGTTTACCGGGACACTTCTGATCGCTGACAATTCAAAATGTCTGCTGTGCAAAACGTATGACAAGTATGTAAGTTGTCCCACCCCAACAAGTGCAACAAGAGTTAGAAGAAGATGTATCAGGGAGATCTAAATCAGTCCATCAGTAAGTTTAGTGCCTTGCTTCAGTAAAGCAATGATGTCCGTCACCAAGTACAAACAAAAAGAGCAATACAATGGCAGACAGTTTATGAATTCAAATAGAGAAAGGTTATATAAAGTGGCATGGGATTAACAGTAGAGTGAAAAGCGGTATATACCAGCAGTCCAGTGTCCCTACTATCTCTGATTAAAAGAATAAAAAGCAAAGAAAGAATTCAAACTGCTTAGAATTAGTTTTATGTCATCATGTGCTGTTTCACTGCACTGCTGGACCTTCATCTTAAAGTCGTTCATGTTCAGTGGCTGACTGTTGAGTTTAAAACCACATGGCAGTGACATGGACAGGGACACTGCACTAAATGTCCTCGGCTGTTCCCGTGCGATGTGCAGTCGACCTTGTAATACGTGTGACAGCACTTGTGCTTGTTTTGTTAATTGAGTTGTCACCAAGACAAATTCCCAATGCTGTCTCTTAAAATATAATTAAATTGATGCAAACTCCAGTGCTGATTACATGGCGTTGACACTAATTAAAGAAATATTGCTTTGTTTGTCCATCGATAATTGGGTTACGTGTCGGGGAAAAAAAACAGCCTATACTGGGCTGTCTCTAGAAAACCCTGACTTCATAGTGTAAGCAAATTTGGATTTTAAACTTTAAAAACTAGAGCACTGAATGTAAAACTTGATTTTATTTAATTTTCTTTTTATGGGCTATGAGAGCCTATTTGATAAGTGTTAAGTAGAGTGACTTTGATAATGTATGATTCTGTTCCTTTACTTATCTGCACTTACACATTTTGATGGCATCTAGGCAGGTTGAATTAACTTATTATATTATATATATTATACAAGTGCTATGCATTTTAATATTTATTAAGGATGTATTATTTCTGTTCCCTGAAGCGACAAGTAGCGGGAAGTTACATGACTAATCCCTTTTCCAATTGTTATGGAAAGAATCCGAATCATCTGGCTTCCTTGGACAGCTAGACAACTTTATGTTCATGTGGCAGAATGGTGCTACTTAAAACTTCCGTAATGTTTAGCATGTTGAATTACTGTTCGTGTTTTGAAATTGTATTCCTTTCAGTTCCTTTATATTACATGTGATATAAAGTAATTCCTAATGAAAGATGTGACAGACGGTCACAAGTTCTGTTTACAGTGGCATCAATATGGTTCAAACTATGCTTGTCAGATGGTCGAATGGCGTCTGAAACCCCCACACCTTACATCGAGAGGCTTCTCTCTCAGGCTCTCTCACAGTTATTACTGACACTTTTCATGTGTACAACAGTGCAAAACCCTGAATGCTTTTTTGGAGAGACTGTCTGAAAGTGTGCACCTTTTTCCCATTTGTACAACTCATCACATCACTCTTGAGTGTGACTTATAGCCTTTAGACGTGGTCAGACGACACTTTGTATGAGATAGTTTGTGTCAGGTATACCCCGGCTATTAGAGCTACATTTATTTCCCCTTTTTTACCAGCTGATGGCAGTGTATCTGCACAATAAGCTGACAAATGCACACCCTGAAACAGCATCGCCTCATGAAGTTGTCGAGGATAACGTGTTAGCAAATAATGGGCTATTTACACATCCAGCAGACACAGAGTAATGGTAGCATTATTTTGAGGTTATGTTTCTGTCCAGTGGCACACTCAGGCTCTTTATCTACCATAGGGGCATCCAAGAGGGGACTTTTGTGGGGTTACAAGGGGGCTGAATGTAAATCAGTTTTCATTCTCCTTTAGCTCTGGTTTGGGTTCCACCAACTTCAGATAAAAATATCTTGCCCTTTTAGCTGTTCGACGTTCCACGACTGGCTTGCTGAGCTAAAGGGCTGATGATGGTCCCCGCGGTTTAATCACTGCGAGCAACCCTTCTCACAGCACATAATTATTTGATTTGTTGTTAATATGAAAAATATTGATTAGCGATGGTTTAAGCTTTCTTTCCCATTTGGTATTCAGAAGAACTGCGTGCCCACATCTTCAGGAAAATCACCTCTGTAGCTCCTCTGTCACACTCATATACCGCATGTTCCCTTGTTCAGTCTCTGCGGAGCTTTAATATGGTACATCAGTGTGACATCACAGACGAGGGGGTGGAATGGGTTCTTCTTTATTTGGTGATTGTGGACTGAACAGAGTGTTCACCAGTACAAACTGAACTGCCCTGAGGCGTAGGAAGAGCAGATCTGAATTTTGCACACTTGCAATCATAGTGTAAGATGGCAAACAGCACACAATCACAAACCCACATATTTGAGTTGTCCTTGAAAGTGTTACGTTCTCTCTCTCCCCCTCTCTCTCTCTCTCTCTCTCTCTCTCTGCACAAACACACTCAGGTTTTACATGATAAGCACTTCACTGTGTCGGGTGCAGAGTCAGTGTGAAGAGTTCGGCTCTGTTATGATACGTCATCATGTACGTTTCAAAAACAACTTTAAAGGACAAATGTGTAGGATTTAGCAACGTCTAGCAGTGTACAGGCTACAACCCCTTCGCCTCACCTGCCCCTTCCAAGCATGAAGGAGAAACCATGGTGACCACAAAACAACGCAAAAGACCCTAGAGGCAGTGTATGGTTGGTCCATTCTGGGCTACAGTAGGAACGTGGACTCACTCAAGAAGAAGACCCGCTCCCTCTGTAGATAAAATGTCTCATTCTAAGGTAACAAAAACAAAATAATTCTTATTGTTAGATGATTATACACTAATGAAAACATACCTATAAATGTTATATTTAATTTCTGCCAATACAGCCTCCTAAATGTTAAAGACTTTACCTTTGACTTTTTGTCATTTGTTGTGAGGCCAGAGACTGTCTTTATAATGAACCTGAGTTTCTTTTCTCCGTCTGATGGTTTGGTATAGGTGTATTCAGTGTGCCTGAATGTGTGTGTAAAATCTAACGATACAATTTCCCTTCAACTTGCTCTCATTCCCACAAATGTACCTCGTCAGACATCATTTATCCATCAAAACGTAGGGATATTTCTGCTGGTTCTACACATGTAACTCTGGAATCAAACGGCCTAAACTTTTGGCACTCTGAGCTCCGTCTGTTGGTCCAGCACTTTGTTCCAGACTGAAATATGTCAACAACCGATTACCATGACATTTTATACAGACATCCATGGTTTCCTAATGACTTTGGAGATCCCCTGATTTTTCCTGCATGTTGCTGTTAGCATATAGGTTAGAGTACAGCTGTGCCTAAAGCCTCCTAAAGCCTCCAGGAGCTGCTAGCATGGCTGGAGACTCTTCGTCTTGTTTAATCAAAGAATGCCTACTTCAATTTTCTTCCCTTTGGTGGACTGGGAAGATGTGGCATTGGCATGACAGGTGTCTGTTATTTTACGAGGAAAAGCAGCATAACTTGGAACACTTGTTTTAAGCTGCATAAAGGACACAACAACTCCCAAACCCACTTAAAATTAACTAGAATTATATTGATGAAGGACATTACAGGCTGATATTTATGATGATCCCTGGATAAACACTCACACACACACACACACACACACACACACACACACACACACACACAGCACAACCTCATACAGAGGCTGTGCAAGAAACTGTGAGCATTGTTTGGTGGGGGAGTGTGACCTCTTGTGGTTCGTTGGTAGAGGTGCAGTGCAATCTGTCCCTCTGCAATATACTGTAACTAAAGTCACTGATCCATGGACTACCTGCATTACAAACTGCTGACTTCATCAAATAAACACACACAACACTTGCACACACCCTAAAGCACCTTCTCCTCACTGCAGTGTTCACTCTAAACATATACGTGCTCTCTGTATCCAATAGCTGTTACACAAAGGACGAAGGAGAGGATAATTGATGTGGATGCATAGTGTAGAGCTGAAATTATAACAAACACACTGGAGAAACACTCTCACAAACATGCACACCATATGTTCTCTCTGTTTTCTTATGAAATAAATGAGATATTGAGATAAGAAAAGAACATTTCAAACCATGCAAGATGTAATTACTTTTAAAGTTCCTGTTAACACAATGACAGTACTACAAATTAGGGAAATACGCAGCGTGTGGTGCTTTTGATGACAAATGTGCAGGTCAGCAGAAGTTTTGAAGTTTACAGAGCAGAGATGCAGTGTGGGCAAAAATACATTGAAAAAGTAATAACAGGCTACAGATTTTTATTATTTTTTTGTACAACTTTCCCCACATGAAACGTGCCATGTTGCAGAATAAAGCAAAAAAAAACCCAACAACAACAGAACCTTAAGATTGTTTCGTCTCACAACAGCTGCAGCACTGTGATAAGCTGGAATATAATTACACCAAACCAGAAGAGTGTGCTTCTTTCTTCTCACAAAGGCTGTGATTTCATATTTAGCAACTGGATGGCTTTTTGAAACATGAACCTTCACACCGGATGGTTCAAAGAATCAGTCTGTCACAGAGGGGCCTTTCTATCGTTTCTTTATCTATCCAACTAGCTATGTCTGTTTTAGCTGATATATTTCTATAAAAATGGGGGCTGGGATCCTGTAGCTGATCGATATGTATGTACGAATAGACCGGGAGGATCCTGTAGAAAGTAACTAACCACTAACCCTTAGAAGCAAGTAGAGGATAACACATTTTCTAGTATTGGGCAGCCTTTATGGTGGTGCATCACATTTTCTCCACACAGAGGAACCATAGAGAATTTGGTGGAGGTTATGGGGGTTTTTCTGTGGAGGGAGGACACTGATTTAGCTTCAGTTCCTCTTCTGCAAAACAACAATTTAGCAGTTCATACTGTTTTACTTCTGTTGGTGAGAAGAAGTAATTCATTCCTTATACAGTATTTCTATGGATATGCTCACTGTAGCCGATCTTTGGACGTAGTCGCACAGTACCGGACCAGAGATCTCCCCACCTACCTAATTGTCTGGGAATTTCTAAATGCAAAGTAGCTGCTTGCACTGCGAGAACAGCTGCTAACAAACTACAAGCCTTACTTCAAGGACATGCCTTACCTCACTGTAAAACCCTAACTGCATATCTTAACACTATACCCGCCATTAACAAGATTTTCTGTCATTGAAGACAGAACGTTTCGCCACCATTGATAAGATATTTCAGCAATCTGTGTTTGAACAAAGTTAGAATAAAATGTTTTCTGTGTATAAGAATAGAGCAGCTGTTCTTTCTTTTAATGTACTCGGTGTTGACATGTTCATGGAACATAATATCCCTGAAAGATTAGTGAATATAATCTAAAATGCTGGCAGAGGCTGGCAACTTCAAAATAACCGGGGATCAGGGATGATAATTAAAGAAGTAAGTTAACATAACATAATGTGGAATCACTCCATGAATTAAACCAAACTCAAAAATCAACTGTTGTTAAATTTGTGCAGTATTTTAAGTAGTGGTGATATGATTCCAGCTTGTTCCACTGATTCATTTTCTTTAAGTTGACTTTATATCATTAAATAAACAACAACAATTTTGTTACTTCAGTTTAAAAATCATCATATGCCCAAGCATGCATCCAAATAATTCTTAATGATCCCCCAAAGTGTAAAGAGGTGATGTTAGTCACATAAAAAAACAAGTAGGCTATGTTAACAACTTAATTACAGCAGTATCAATTAGATTTGTTGATCCACAAAAATTAATTGGCTACCATTTTGATAATCAATTAATTGTAAATATTTATTTTTGTTTTCATATGTTAGCTATTTTGACAGGTAGATGAAAAGTACATTTAACTTCAGTGGGAACATTTGTATAAACGCGATGCATTTAAGTTAGTCTCCCATTATTCATATCAATTATCTTAACACATTTTAAATAAGTTTGGAGAAGTGCAGCATGTGAGTGTAATATATCAGTTTTAAATTCAATGAACTGAATGGAATTGGTAGAATTACCTAGTTAAAAAAAGGTTAAAAGAACAAATACTTGAGTTAATCAGATATTTTTTTCATGCTTAAATGTTTAACAAGTTAATGAAGTTGATTCGTTTAATGCAACTGGTTTCCTCAAACAGTTTGACTTGAACTAACTCATGATGCTCTTCCCTCATTCACCAGCTAGGGATTAAGCCAATCACTTTATGACACCGTTTTAAAACATTTAAAAAACTTAATGTGCATCATCTTATCTTATGACAGTGTCACCATCCTAAAAGCTCTCTAAATGTTTCCCAACCAGTTGTAGCAACGCAAACTACGAGAAACTCATCTCTTTATTGAGTTAAGCATTTAGAGACCGGCTTGTGAGTCTTTCTAGAAGGGAGGGGAGGGGGGGTGATCTGGCTGATCCAGCTCTATGGAAAAGGAGAGAAAAGGAGGAGGCTTATCTATGTGACGTGGGTCTATGGAGGGGAGTTCCACACGTGACTGACTTGATGCTCAAAAGCCTGGACGGAGGTAAAGACAGAGATCAGAGGACAGCAAGAGAGGACACAGCATCTCAGTCAGCAGGCAGCATCTTCACTCGGATCGTTGTTTTGTAAATTAGTGCTTTCTCCCGCCACTGGCTGCTTGTTTTATCCGCCTTCTGTTATTTTTATAGACACATACTATCATACTGCATTGCATTTTTCCTCCTCAACGTGCAGACCCAGCCCACCGCCCTCCTCTCCAGCTCTTTTGCGTGTCTCCTGCTGCGCGGTGTTTTGGATGTGTCGGCCGGCTGCTGCAGCGGTGTTCGCGGCGCTGACCGCCTGCTGCCTCTGTTGCGCTCCGCTCCTGTGCGCGGCGGGGAGAAGCCAGCAGCTCAATTACCGACCGGTCATCGGTAAGATTCACCCGCACATGAACTGCTCTTAGTGTGTGTCCCTGTCCGCAGAGACCGGCTGTGCACGCCGGATGTCACCAGTGTCCTAATTCTCATCGAGAAGGTTCTAGAAAACGTGTGTGCGTGTGTGTGTGTGTGTGTGTTCTTTGTGTGTGTGTCTCCGCTGTGTTTTAGGCAGTGCGTGTGCTTACTATAATTACATAATTTAGATACCTGTAGCTAATGCATATTATGTAATAGGTTATAGGCTGTTCTCTATGTCCTCTGGGGGTGACAAACATACATTTGAGCAAGTGAGGGACAGGAGAAAAGATGAGAGAATAGTTGATGATGAAGATGATGTGAATGGATGAAGGGCTGCTGGGGAATTACTGGGGTTACTCTTCTTTCTGTTATGTTTGTCTCACAATAATTAAGGTGACCTGAAAATGTTTGCTGTATTGTATTAGACCGTATTATCAGGTCTCACTGTCAGTTTGCCTCGAAAACAAAAACCACATTTCTAATTACACAGCAGCACTTAATACACGATATACCCATAACACATCAGTGGTTGCTGATACCAAAGCGCAGAGGCTGTAAGGTTTTAAGAAAGAACAGGAGGTTCATGAAGCAGGATTAGATAAGAATAGAGAACGATGACTGTACGTGTTATCTTGAGCAGACCTGCTGCAATTTTGGGCCAGAACTCTGACCATGTGACCAAATCGAGGCCCTGATTCATGATGTGTGGCTATGAGTAAAGTAGGGAGATTATCATTGTATTGCACTGTCATACCAAGGGTTTACTGTGTCACCTCGTCAGGTGTTTGTTGCACGTTTGTCCTCCAGCGGAGGATCAACGTTTCTAAACTTCCTGTATGATTAACATAGAGGATTGTATGGCTCTCTGAGGGTTTATAGCAATTTAAGCTTCTTTAGAATCTGTGTATTGTGTATGATCTTCTCAATCTTGCGTCTAATGAAATTGTGTAATGTAAAACATTATATAGTTTCAATTTCATAATAGATTTTGTATGGGCAAAGTTCTCAGCGCTATGTATTCTACATTTCCCATCGACCATGCTTTGTGTGTTTCATTCCATTTTCACTTGCAGCATGTGGTTGAGCTCTTGTTTGGGTGGATGTGGATGAAATAAAATGTTTGTGAAAGTGCTCTTTTATTTCTCTGTGTTTTTTTAAACTTTACTGTGTAAAGCACCTTGAGTTGACTCTGTGTGTGAAATGTGCTTCATAAATACACTTGCCTTGCCTTGTCATATGACAGTCATCTGGACGTTGTCAAGCTATTAAGTAATATAACAAACATGGTGGGGATTTTTTTTAAACCTATATATAGAACATAGTGAGTTTGTGGTGTTTTGGGATACATGATGTTCCAGAGACCTTTCTAGAGAAACAGAAAGGAAGCTGAAACTATTAGGGAGCCACATGTGTCACAAGAATGGGCAAGTCAGTACCTGTAGGGGATCTGATCTCTTTAAGAGTGCATCAGGGTAGAGGTTTTCCTTTTCAGAGGTCCCCTGCTCTTTGTTGCCTCTTAATCTTTTCTGTGTTATGTCATCTATCTTCTGTCCACTGTAGGTGTGTTGGCGCAGGAAAACCTCCCAGGAGACCAGTTTGCTCGTGGCTCCTCTTACATTGCTGCATCCTATGTCAAATACCTGGAGGGAGCCGGGGCAAGGGTCGTACCCATCAGGTACATTGACCTTTCATACCTTTTAGGTTTAGGAGCCACAGAGTATAGGGTGCCCTGGGGAATCTTTTTGTTGCTTGGTCCCAATTGAAACCACCAACCAGTGAGCACAATTTAATACTACAGAAAACACTCACACAACACTTGTTTTATCCTAGTGTGCAGCTGTCTGCCAGAAGATCCAGTTTTGCTGGCTGGTTTCTGGAATAAAACTCCAACTGCATTATGATGTAAACAAAGCACATAGTTTTCCCTTTGTCTCCTTTTTAATGGGCCATTTACTTTAACAAAACATACCTCTGCAAGAAAGGAGAGTTTCAGATGACCAAGTAAGTGAGTTCTCAAGGAATAAGAAGAAAAACATATACATATAAACGCTTATAATTAGAGCCTGACTGATATGGTATCTCTGAGACCGATACCGATTTTAGAGGGGGAGAATTCACCAATATTGCGGCCGATATAGTGAATATTTGATCTGGAATGAAAATAGACCTTTTATTTTCTGGATTGTGCATCGATTTTGGTAAATAGACTTGTATTTATACATGCTTGTCTGGTCTACCAAACAAATTATTAGATGACCCGCTCTACCACCTGAGCCACAGCTGCCCATTGTGCATCGATGTACAGCAATAGAAGAAAAGGGCTTCAGCAATGTGCAGCTGAATCAGGGCCTTCTTAGAATGAGGACAGCAGACTTCAGAGGAAAGCAAACATAGTAATGCATATGCAGTGTTTGCCCTATGTAAACTTTGGACTTTTGAAAATATGGTAAATGGCTGCATTTATATACTTTTATCCAAAGTGCTATATAAGTTGCCTCACATTCACCTATCCACACACACACACACTGATGGCAGCGACCATGCAAGGTGCTCCTCTGACCAGGGTTTAGGGTTTCAAGGATACTTTTGACAACCAACCATGTGATAAGGAGACAGCCTGCTCTACCTGCTTAAGATACAGTAGCTTTCATATATCATTCTCCATACTTAATAACTGCTATAGGCTCAGCGAGGGTAAGCATGTAGCAGCTGCCTGTTAAGCAAGTAGTATGTTTCCAAAAACAATAGCAGATTATCTTACACTTCATCAAGATAGTTTAAGATTTTATTTTTCACATTCCCTTTAACTCCTACTAGAAAATTACTGCAAGAGCATAAATTCCTACTGACATCACCTGTCACGCAGTCATCTGAATCAGACTCACACCAGTATCAGTCATGGTGCCAGATTTGGTTTCATGTGGGCGGAGTCTGTGTAAATGAGACAGTCACTGTACGGTGACAGTTAGAGACATGTATGTTGAGTTATATTATGACAGCCAGTCTTTTTAATTGTTTAATTGTTTTATCTCTTCCTCATAGTTTATTATGAATAAGGGTGTTTTCAATAACATAATAAATGTTTTTGACATTCAAGGAAAAAGGGCTGTCCTAGCTCCAGCTCAGTGCTTTCCCCGAGCCTGCACACAGACTCAATATCCTCTAAATGTTAAGATTAAATTAATTCTGATCAGTAACATCTGAATTCTTCATTCAGGCTATTTTTTTATTTGTGGCCATACGCAGGGGGTGTGTGGACATCCATCTACTGCTTTAATCCAGAGTGATTGATAATGCAGTTGATTGTTTTGGAAAGTTAATGAGTTTAACTTTCTGTGCCGCTTTTTGTTCTCCAGAATCAATCGCACAGAAGAAGAATATGCTAAGCTGTTCTACTCAATAAATGGGTGAGTTGACAAGAGTTCTCTTGTTATCTCTATTGTTCAGCTCTCTATACGACACGCTGGCTGTCTTTTCCTGCCACTGTACTCTGTAACGTATCATTTTAACATGTTCTGTAAAATATAAGCTTGTTTGTTGCACTCATCATAGGTCATGATTAGACATGACAAACTTGTGGAAATATCAGGGCACACAGTAGCTCACCTGGTAGAGCTTGCCTACCGCAGTGGGCTGGGTACAATTCCAACCTGCAGCCCCCCCCCCTTCCCTGGCTATCTTCACCTGTTCTATCAAATAATGGCATAAAAACGTCTCCTCAGGTTGTTGCTGCCAGGAGGAGATGTGGATATTCAGACATCGCAGTTCAGTCGAGCTGCCAGGATCTTTTACAACTTGGCTCTGAAGGTAAGACATTTGGCACATGCAACGAAGTGCCAAGATGAAGTGACACCTCAGGATCCTACTGAAAGTGACTACAGTGTTAGTGTTATAACCTGATAGATTAACTTGGTTCAATTTTCCTTTCATTAAATGACAGGTTTAGATTGTTCAAGTCGGGACTAAAATAAGACATAGACCTGTATCATTTGTACACTGAAAAAGTTTTTGATCGCTGTAATTGTTCCTCCTTTCCACACTGGCAGTGAAGCGATACCTTCCAGATGTAGGTGATAGGGGAGAAAATCCAGTGTGACTTAAACATATCAAGAAGATATTGTCTTTTTTAGTACAGATTCCTCTACTTGTTTCCTCAAACATTGATATTTGCTGAGCTGCAGTGGGAGAACAGTAAGAAGAAGAGGGAATTTGGTACTAAAAACAACGTCACATTGGAAGATTTGTCTAACTCGGCTGCTGAAGCCTTACACTAGCCCTTAGCTATAGTTGGTGTGAATGTGTGCAACTCTGTGAGAGGGAAGGATTTGGGTTTTCGGTGAAATAAAGCTTTCTGTGTCCTTAGAGAGAAAAACGGATAAAACAGTAATCAAAATGGGATTACACTTTCCTTATTCTCCTTCCTCACTTCCTCATTCTCTGCAGGCGAATGATGCTGGCGACTACTTCCCTATCTGGGGAACTTGTCAGGGCTTCCAGCAGCTGTCTGTCCTCACAGCCAACAAAAACCTGCTCACCCTCACTGATACCAAGGCTGTGGCTCTACCTCTCGCTCTCACACCAGGTATCCCTTTTCTTTTCTGCTTGTCCTTGTTCTGCAGTTGTTGTTTTTTGTCGAGCAAGTTAGTATTAACAAAACAGGACCTTTGTCATTTGTCACATTTATCTTATGGAGATCAGTAGTCTTAAAGGCACTGTACACACACACACACACACACACACAGGTGTTTTTAGTTTTCAGCTACAAATGTCTCTTTCTTGGCGCATGAGGTCAGATACCTTCTTAATGAGACAATAAGTACAGTAACTTATAGTAAAATGAAATATCTCTCCATTTAGAAGTGTCACGCTTTATTATATCACAGTATTTAGTATTGCAGTTAAATTACAAAAGTGAAAGACACAAAGGGTGCAAATCAATGAATGTTGTGCCATCATTACAGGAAACAATAAGAAACTAATTATCTTTTAACAAAAGAAAGGGGGATCCCTTTTACTGGAATCCTACTAGAAAATTACAACAAAGAGCAATAATTCCTAGGCACATGCTATTTTCAGTTGGGATCCCAATCTGTCTCACAGCAACATCGGTCATGGTGCTACATATTGTGTGATGTGGGCGGATCCCAAGCTAATGGAATGAATGCAAAATAAAACCTGGGCAAAAATAAATGGACCAAAAAGAGTGGCTGTTGATCTGCCATTGCTGTGTCCTGAGGTCAGATTTATGCAGCTCTAATCATTTTGTTAATTTATACAATTCATACAACTAAATGTGTCACCTATAAACTGTGTGTTACCAGTCGGGCATGTAAAAAAGCACAGAAGGTAAATAAATGGCCGTAGATCTGGTGCCACGACAGAAGATTTGAATAATTAATTGAATAAAGCACAGATCAGATTGAGCGCCGCACCTCTGTGAAATTGGAGACTTCAGATGGAACACATTCAACATTCACAACTCATTAAACAGAGACTGGCTTGTTTGGATTAATGGTTGATATTTTGTTCTAAACTGCAAAAAAAGATAGAACTGTGAAAGAGGAAAAAATCAAAATACCTGAAAGCTGGAAATTATGTGAGGTCAGCAAATTTAATAAAAGTTCCATGCCTATACAGTCCACACTCAAGACTACTCAGGTGGATTAATGAGAAAACACGTAGGAATGAGTTCCCCATCTTTGTTGGCACGTTGCAGTATAAATTGGTGCATTTTTGCCACATTCAAAGAAACAGTTTCTGATTCTCTGCATTCTGTTCATCATCTCACAATTGAACCTAGTTAGACAAAAGCCTCCTACATTACATTACATTTAAGTTAACTGTTAACATTATTTTCCTTGCATATGTATCCCACCCAGCATCAACAGTTTGTAATACTGTTCCTCACCTATAAACCCATTCAGTGTAGATGAAAGAGAATGCATTTTATTGTTTACAGTTGTTATGGGATTCCATTTACAGGAATCCTTCTAGAAACTTTCTAAAAGAGCATACATTCCTGCATAACTCTTCTTTGCTGTTGTGGTCCCTTTTATACTGACAGCAGTATCACCTATGGTGCTCAGTGTGAGACAATATGGGTGGCTCCCATGTAAATGAGACGAGATATCGTCATCTCCTCCAAGTTCTCTGGTTTCCTCCCTTTAAAGAAATGCAAGTTAGCTTCTTAGGCCACTCTACATTGCCCCTAGGTGTGAATGGTTGTCCATCTCTATGGGGACCCTGCTCAATGTGGTAGGATATGGGCAGAACCTATGCAAATGAGAGACATCATTGTTTTTAGTAGCGCCTTTCTAAAGAGTAATTTGGATTTCTGCTAAGCTTTGAGACCAGCTGCAGTTTTAGAAAGAGTACACAATAACACATTATACTCATTAAGGGGTAATCATTTCATTGTATATAGCAGCCCTGATGAACGTTAAGATTAAATGTAACTTCCTCCCTACTGTGTTGTGTGAACAGCTTGTCTGAACCGCCTCACCACAAATCTGTTATCTCTGTCCTCTAGCGGCCCAGTCCAGCCGTCTGTTCCGGAGTTTTCCCAAGGATCTGCTGCAGTCTCTGGCCGAAGAAAACATCACGTCCAACTTCCACAGCTGGAGTCTGTCTATGCAGGTATGTGCTTGCTCCTTGTTTCCCCTCTTTTTTCTGCCCTCATGATCAGCTCCTGTCATGGCTGGAGTCTGACTCCTACTGACATAGGACTTGGGGAGGCTGCATCTGTCCATTTATGTAACTCTGCAACCAGTGGTCGATAGGTGGATAGGCACCCACCCCACTTTAGAGTGTTACCATTAAGAATGGGTATGAACAATTTTGCAGTCAGAAGTGGTCTCACAACATTGATCACAGCTTGTACCTCTCCCGTGTATTGTCAAGACCAGTCCCTTACCACCTGGACATCATGTCTCTGTTAAACAATGTATAAATTGTAATTATTATATTGCGCTTATCACTTGACTTCTGAACAAAACTGGAACTAAGGAAATTTCCTAAGCCATGTGTCCAGTTTGACCCTTTATGGCTGAGTGATGGATGGCGTGGTGGCCAAGGGGCAAGGCGTTGGTCTCGTAAACCAAAGATCATGGGTTCAATTCCCATCCATGCCTTATACTTTACTGTTAATGAGTAATAGATAAATACCACTTAGGCGCCCTGGCAGCTGTCCTGGTGGAGCCCCATGTTCCAATGCTGAGTCCCTGCTGCAGTGGCCATGGGTTTGTGTCTGATCTTGAGTTAGTGCTACTAACTGCAACTGGATTCCATGCACTACACCTTTGCATGAACACTCTCAGCAGGAATGTGTACCATGTCAACAAGGTGCTTGATGTTTTGTCAGTTTCAGAAAGTTACAAAGGCAAACCATTTCAGGAATGTGTCGGGGAGGGGGCTTCAAACCCTGTGCAAAGATCTCACAAAAACTTCATCTGAAACATACGGATGCCGTTAAACCATGGAAACCTATCTTGTCCAGTTACAGCTGTATAGTGTTTTAAGGCGTAAATGCATTGTAAAATGATTATGTGAATAATCCACATCACGCAGGGGACCCATGTACTGCTGTCCCACACATGAAAACACTCAGCTGATGTTCATTGTAGGAAGGCGTGGTGGCCAAGTGGTAAGGCGTTGGTCTCGTAAACCAAAGATCATGGGTTCGACCCCCATCCATGCCTTGCTATAGATGACACCCTGGTGTAATAATGTAGGGAAGAGTTTCAGAATGCAATATCAAGCAACTGGTTACCATTCAAGTGTTAATAATGTCATTGCCTTAGGCCTTCCTCAGTGTATGACCATACAGTGTAACTCTGAGTTGACCATCAGCAAATTCTCATCTGACTTTATCCCAACACAAAGTCAAATGGGTTTCACTGAATTGATAGATCATCTTCATTTACCTTCGCAATGAGACAACAACTACAGTAACGTAGTAAAAATAAACAGCTCTCTGTTTAAAACTGCCATTTGCCTCATTATTTACCAGTAATTAGAATCACTACAGTTAGTCATTTGGGTATTACAAATAACTAAAAAACGTCTTGGTTTGTAATTGCAATTCTCTATACCTGTAGCAAAACACCTATACTGACACTTACTGAGACCTGATACTGACCTATACTGACACACCATGCTCACATTGATTTATAAAGTACATCATGAAAAATCATGGTTATTTATGTTCACAGTTATTATGGGACTCATTTTACAGGAATCTTTCTAGAAAGATTCTAAAAGAGCAAACATGCTCTGCAATTCTCAGTGTATGGGTGGCTCCCATGTAAATGAGATGAGATCTCATTGTATCTCATGTATATCCTGTAATTATTATAATGCATTATACTGAGCTTGTGTCACTACGCAAATTCCCATGCCATGTGTCCAGTTTGACCCTTCGTGGCCAAGGGGGAAGGCGATGGTCTTGTAAACTAAAGCTCATGGGTTCAATTCCCATCCGTACCTTATGCTTTACTGTTAATGACTAATGGACAAATACCACTATGGCGACCTTCCTGGTGGAGCCCCATGTTCCAAGGCTGAGTCCCTGCTGCAGTGGCCATGGGTTTGGGTTTGACCTTGAGTTAGTGCTACTAACTGCAGCTGTGGAGTAGCATGGATTCTATGCACTACACCTTTGCATGAACACTCCTCGTAGCCAGCAGCAATGCATACCATATCAACAAGTTGCTTGATGGGTTGCCAGTTTCAGAAAGTTAAATGTCCAGATACTGGGCAAAAACTGCAATCCTATATGACTCATACCACCATCAGTCATTGTGTCCAATATGCCATATCAGATGGCTCAGTTCATTATCATGGTAGTATATTGTAGCATGTTCTGTCTTTTTTTCTTCTTAGTTTAGTACTTACTTTAGTTTGGTACCATGTCAACAAGTTGCTTGATGGGTTGCCAGTTCCAGAAAGTTAAATGCCCACATAATGCTATCCCTCACCTGAAAACACTGAGCCTGTGACATAGGTAGACAGGCGTGGTGGCCAAGTGGTAAGGCGTTGGTCTCGTAAACCAAAGATCATGGGTTCAACCCCCATCCATGCCTTGAAAAGATCTAGTGATTGACAGTAAACTTAAGGAAATGGGAAGCTTTCTTTAGTGTGACTCAGCTACTGAAGTCTGTCCCATGATCAGTCCTGATCAGTGTCCTTTCGCAAGGCAAACAGCTTCTCTTGGTGCATGCGGTCAGATACCAACAACAACGACTACAATAGTTGTGTGAAGTGCCATCCCAAACTAATGAAATTAAAATAAAACTTTGGTGAGAACAAATATCGACTTGTCCTCTGGAACATACTTTAGACATGATCTGTCATTACCTTGGGCTGTGGTTAAGCACAAGTTTACACCGGTCTTGATTAAAGTCACATGATAACTTACATCACATTGTTGTGTCTGCAAAAGTTTAAAATAAACAGACAACACAGTATTTAAGTTTTAACTATATTCATACAAATTAATTCAAAGAAACATTTTTAATAACTGAAGGTGGATTTCTTTTACACAATCAAAGAGCAACGCTCCTGTGTCAAAACTGCGATCCTATATTACTCATACCATCATCGGTCATGGTGTCCAATATGCCGTATCAGATGGCTCAGATCATTATCATGGCAGTATATTGTAGCATTTTCTGTCTTTTTTTTCTTCTTTTTATGTTATGTTTATTTATCTCCCTTCTTATCACAAAGGTGTCTTATAAGCCCCAAAACTTCTTGCTTAGCAATTATAATTCTCAGTGTAGGCACACTATCTGACTTTAATTCATACTATACTGTAAAGAAAAACAGATTGACATTAATTTTTCACAATGTTGATGGGATTCTTTTTATAAGAATCCTTCTAGAAAATTTCTAAAAGAGCAAACATTCCTGTGTAATCCCTGTTTGCTGTTGTGATCCCTTTTAGACTGACAGCAGTATCACCTATGGTGCTCAGTGTAGGACAATATGGGTGGCCCCAATGTAAATGAGATGAGCTATCATCAGTCCTTTTACATTGTGCATCTGTTTGTTTCCCATCCTGCCTTAAAAGCTCCTGGTAAGATGAGATGAGATAAGATAATATATACCTTTATTAATCCCCTGTTGGAATAATTCAAATTACACACAGTTATGGTACCATGTCAACAAGTTGCTTGATGGGTTGCCAGTTCCAGAAAGTTAAATGCCCACATAATGCTATCCCTCACCTGAAAACACTGAGCCTGTGACATAGGTAGACAGGCGTGGTGGCCAAGTGGTAAGGCGTTGGTCTCGTAAACCAAAGATCATGGGTTCAACCCCCATCCATGCCTTGAAAAGATCCAGTGATTGACAGTAAACTTGAGGAAATGGGAAGCTTTCTTTAGTGTGACTCAGCTACTGAAGTCTGTCCCATGATCAGTCCTGATCAGTGTCCTTTCGCAAGGCAAACAGCTTCTCTTGGTGCATGCGGTTAGATACCAACAACAACGACTACAATAGTTGTGTGAAGTGCCATCCCAAACTAATGAAATTAAAATAAAACTTTGGTGAGAACAAATATCAACTTGTCCTCTGGAACATACCTTAGACATGATCTGTCATTACCGTGGGCTGTGGTTAAGCACAAGTTTACACCGGTGTTGTCTTGATTAAAGTCACATAATAACTTACATCACATTGTTGTGTCTGCAAAAGTTTAAAATAAACAGACAACACAGCATTTAAGTTTTAACTATATTCATACAAATTAATTCAAAGAAACATTTTTAATAACTGAAGGTGGATTTCTTTTACACAATCAAAGAGCAACGCTCCTGTGTCAAAACTGCGATCCTATATGACTCATACCATCATCGGTCATGGTGTCCAATATGCCGTATCAGATGGCTCAGATCATTATCATGGCAGTATATTGTAGCATTTTCTGTCTTTTTTTCCTTCTTTTTATGTTATGTTTATTTATCTCCCTTCTTATCACAAAGGTGTCTTATAAGCCCCAAAACTTCTTGCTTAGCAATTATAATTCTCAGTGTAGGCACACTATCTGACTTTAATTCATACTATACTGTAAAGAAAAACAGATTGACATTAATTTTTCACAATGTTGATGGGATTCTTTTTATAAGAATCCTTCTAGAAAATTTCTAAAAGAGCAAACATTCCTGTGTAATTTCTGTTTGCTGTTGTGATCCCTTTTAGACTGACAGCAGTATCACCTATGGTGCTCAGTGTAGGACAATATGGGTGGCTCCTATGTAAATGAGATGAGCTATCATCAGTCCTTTTACATTGTGCATCTGTTTATTTCCCATCCTGCCTCAAAAGCTCCTGGTAAGATGAGATGAGTTAAGATGAGTTAAAATAAGATAATATATGCCTTTATTAATCCCCCATAGGAGTAATTCAAATTACACACAGCCGCATTGGGGAACCATAGTGCAAAAAAAGTTGATGGGTTGCCAGTGTACATACAATAGCATCACAAATATGGTATGGTATGGTATGTAATCGTTTATCTCACTCTACCTTTAGCTACACACCTATGTCTTGCATTATTAATTTGTTTATCTACAATACAGATTATACATTCAAAACATACAGACCTTTATTGTTCACAGTTATTAGTGGAACCCTTTTATAGGAATCCTAGAAAATTTCTAAAAGAGCAAACATTCCTGCATGACTCTCTTTTAGTGTTGTGATCCCTTTCAGACCGACGGCAGTATCACCTATGGTGCACGGTGTGGGACAATATGGGTGGCTCCCATGTAAATGAGATGAGATATTGCCTCTAAGTCCTCTGGTTTCCTCCCACAGCCTAAAGAAATGCAAGCTTCATTGGCGACTGTAAATTTCCCCGAGGTGTGAATGGTTGTCCATCTCTATGGGGACACTGCTCAATGTGGCAGATCTCATGCAAATGAGAGACATCATTATGCAAGGAACACAACAGCAGTTAGTGTGACCAAAGTTTATTTTTGCAGCAGTAGAGTAGTTTCAGTGCCAAGACAACTATATTAATGTCAACTCTGCCTTTGAACCAACAGAACTACAGCCGGAACGCCAAACTGAAGCGGTTTTACAAGGTCCTGTCTACGAACAATGATGGGAAGAAAGAATTCATCTCCACCATGGAAGGTACCATTCATCACTGACTACTTTGCATCATTCATGTTGTTCACTATACACTTGTCATAAACAGAAAAGGAAAGAAAACCTCAGGAAGAGAGATAGAGGAGGAATCCCTCTCCCAGGACAGACAGACAGGCAATAAATGTCGAGTGAGGAAAAGTTACACAGTATACACATTATACAAGAAGAATGTGGATCCAGGAGGATGTTGAAACAACTTCAGATATCACTGATTAAGGCATATGACCTTATGTCCACCATGGAGATCTGGAAGAGGACAGACCACAGAATGTATCAGCAAAAAATCTAATCAAACAATATATACAGATTATTATGACAAAAACACCAATATATGTAGATTTATATTATCATGTCCAGATACAGCTGTATAGAGGCTAATAATCCACCCCACCCAGGGGACCCATGTACTGCTGCCCCACACATGAAAACACTCCGCTGGCTTGCATGGAAGCATGGCGTGGTGGCCAAGTGGCAAGGCGTTGGTCTCGTAAACCAAAGATCATGGGTTCGACTCCCATCCATGCCTTCGGGTGGAAAAATAGCTAGTTTGAGTTCCACGATGTCATGATCAGAAAAGGTGAGAAATCCTTAGTGAGGAGCAGACAGGCAATAAATGTGGAGTGAGGAGAAGTTGCACTTCATACACATTATGAGAGTGAAGAATATGGATCCAGGAGGATGTTGAAACAACTTCACATCTCACTGATTAAGACATATGACCTCATGTCCACTATGGAGATCTGGAAGAAGACACACCACAGAATATATCAGCAAACAATATATACAGATTTTTTATGAAAAAAACACCAATATATGTAGATTTATATCATAACTACTGTGCATTCAACATTTCCAGCATTCACTACTGTCCACCAGATGGCGCCATCGGCCAATAACTGAACTGGTGTTTTTGATCATAATAATGAGTCATGTTGATTATTCAGATTCAGATGACATTTAAAAGTGTAGAGATGATGAAAGAGGGGAAATGATGATGGTAATGATCGTGGCGGTCCTATCTGAAAATTAGAATTTTCCTCAGGATGCTGATGAATGATTGTTTCATCACAGCAGCGAGTTTTCTTTCTTCACTGAGTCAGGCGTGGTGGCCAAGTGGTAAGGCGTTGGTCTCGTAAATCAAAGATCATGGGTTCGACCCCCATCCACGCCTTAAGAAAGCAGCTTTTGAATGCTACCTGTTCTGTTCACACAACTGCAAGCTTATTGGTTCTGTTTAGAAATTAGATCAAATCTAAAGATGTTGACTTGAGTGACTACTTGATTGATTACATGAGTGAGTTCTTTCTCCTGACATTGTTTCTGATCTTCTTCAGCCTACCGCTACCCATTTTATGCAGTGCAGTGGCATCCAGAGAAAAGCCCCTTTGAGTGGATAGATAAGCCGGGCATGGTTCACTCCACCGCTGCTATAAGAGCCTGCTTCTACACTGCCAGCTTCTTTGTCTCTGAAGGTAACCTGATTTCATAGTTTAAGACAATTAATTGGAATGTTTTCTGCCGAACATATTTTCAACTCCTCCTACAAATTTCATTCAATAATCAATTTAGTAGCTGTTCTGGAGTTTCCAGTCTTATCAATCACATGATCTTTATCAGCAGATGGAGTTTGGAGTTCTCATGTAAATGTAAATGCATACTTAAAATGAATTAACTGAGTAACTGATTATGCCATTTGCCTTGTGACTGGTTACCAAATTCTAGCAGATGTGGTCAATTAGATCTAAACTGCCACAACGCTTGTGTTGTGGAAGTGCAACTGAGTTTAACTTGAACACATGCACAAATCAAATAAATGAAGTCGACACAAATGTAATACAAATGCATGGAGCCCATTTAATACTTGAAGTTTGTGTGTGTGTGTGTGTCTGTGTGTTATGCATGAAAGAACAGCTGCAGGTCTGCATGGCTGAAGCTTCATCACTACACTCTGTATGACTATTCCTTTTTTTTCCTCCAGCCATGAAGAACCAGCACCACTTCTCCAGTCCCGTTGAGGAGGAGGGAGCTCTCATCTACAACTTCTCTCCTGTCTACAGAGGCATCCACGCCGTCTTTGTGCAGAACTATTACTTTGATTGATGGACATTACTGAAGATTGAATCAGGCTCAAACTAGTCAGAATTTGTCACTGGCATCTTGGCCCACCATAAAAACCGAACTTGACGGTGTTGTCACTTACACTAGCCTCAAACGTCAAGTCAATAATTTAGGGATGCACCGATTGGGAAATAATACAGATGTTATTAAAATAACAATTTGGCTGATGCTGATGGTTTTTTGTTGTCGTTTATTTGGCCTTTTTTGCCAGAGAAACAAAGAAATCTATGAAATTAAGCATCACTGCCTTGTTGCATTTATTTTCTCATCCGAGATGTGAGACACAGAGCTGAACAGCCGCTCGGAGATGATTATTTCTTCAATATCCGAGTTGTAAATAACCAATACAAAATTTAGCCAACACAAAATTGATGCAACACAACAGATAAACATCAACCACTGATATCGGTCAATACCACCTAATTTGCCGACGTCAGTAAACAAGGCGAATATTCGATACAGAATTTCGACCGATGTATCGGTGCATCCCTATAACAATTAGCTGTATAGCTGATTTGCTCAGTAAAATGAAATGCAAACAGGACAATGAAAAAATAGAAGATGAAGATGAAGAAAATAAAACAAAATATTATATTAAAAAATCTTTGCAGGATTTTTAAGTATAATATCAGAAAAAAATAAAACAAAATGCAAATACTAAGACGTATAAATTTAAAAACAAGTACAAATTTGAACAGATTTAGGTAACAGTGATCACTTCACACATCAACCCTCCTCCCCAGCTCTTATTATGGGTAACTAAAATCCAGGGTAACAGTGACAACTTTTATTCTGCATTTATAAGAGGTTGCAGGATTGTATACATTCATAGGGTTCACTGGTTAAAGTCAAATATGAGTTTAAATTTTGGGGCAACAAAACACGTTCGCATCTGTCAGATTTGAGTCTGGTGAAACTTAAAGTAAACTGTATGAAGCCCATCAATAAACTGCCACACACTTCATATTATTCCTATGTTCTTAAAACGGTCTTCAGTTCACATCTCTTTGCAGTGCCGCGATTTTGCCATGACAGCAGTAACAGTGTGGGGTCTATGTTCTACCTGCAGAATTGTATAAGCTCAATTATGGCAAACTAAATGAAATTACACAAAACATAAAAACACTGATAAACACTTGGGAAGAAGAATGAGATCGAAATTCCAATTTTCAGGATATCCCTTTCATCGCAGTTGTGTCTAAGATACCCATAGCTTTACTACTGAATACCATTTACATTAATATGCACATCAAAAATAGCTGACATCCAGATGCTATTAAATTGCTTTACTGGAGACCTTTGCTGGTGTTTGCTGCTATTAAATTACATTTGTAACCTAAAATAAATCATATGGGGATTAACAGACTGAGTGATCAGTGGCAGAGTTTTGCAGGACCACTTAAGTTGCCTTACATAGGCCAAGTTTGTGTTCCCAGATTATTCAATTCAATTCAGTTTAATTTGTATAGTGCCAAATCATAGACTACAGGACCAAGGGTTTACAAAATCACTGTCATTTCTGTTTTGTGTATTAGTTCCTACTCCGTTGATTAGGTATGAGGATGTGTTGATTCTGACGAAGGTGTATGAATGGTACTAAAAAAAACTTAATTTATTTCAACAACTTTACATTACAGTTATTAATCTCACAAGGAAACAAAATAATATTCAAAATAAGTTGCGTCTTTCTTTTACTCACTTACAAAACAAGCACACGTGCTGCCAGAGCAAGATCTCATGGGAAATGCAGTCCTAATTCAGGAAAACATTACCGCTTTTGTCCACAGGGGAAACCAATATCAACACAAAATGAAAGATCCTTGTAATTACTTAAAGTATAACCAGTCACCTAATTTTACAAGCGTAATGGCCACAGCCTGCGAGTCCACGTTTAAATGTGGGTAACCAATAAACACTGACTCTATTCCCACGTTGTGTTTGATCATCAGCAAGAGGCTACTGAAGGTCAGTTAGACTGTGACAAACTGCTGTTTCAGTATCAGTGTGAAGTAATTAATGTGGTTCTTTAACATTCCTTCCGTAAAAATGGAAACATATATTTTGCTACTTGTATTCCTTCTTTTTTTATGTATTGGCTTTATTCTGCAGGACTGCACAACTTGTTTATTCCTCAATATGTGGTACAGCATTCAGTGTGTATGCCTATCAAGGAGAAATTTCATTACCAACTTATCTTATCAACAATAACACATATGTATCAGTAACTCACAAAATGGACGAGTCTTAAGAGTTTATCTTCACAACATTTAAGCATTTTGATTCCTCGGCAGGAGATGGAGTATTTTGTATGCTAACATGCTATCAGAGAATGCCAAATATGACTAAAGATCAGGTTTTTACATTGATTTTTTTTTTGTTTTACAGTTGGCAGATGACATGATGATTGAGTTTGTACAAAACATTCACTTTAAACCTGAAAACATTTTAGGTATGAGGCTGTCCTTTGACACAACATTGCTCTTCATGGAAAAAGTGGATTTTATGGATCTGTTCATGATTGTCTGATTTTAAAATGTAACCTTGGATGTTTAATTGTGTGATGTCATTGTGTGAGGATGTGTTTATAATTTTTTTTGAGTTCCTTCATCATTCAACATTATAAAATTAGTATACCAAACCAATATGTTTTCCCCTTTTTTTTGCAGTCTGGTTTAAAATGTTTGTTACCTATATTGCAACCCTGTACAGTGAAACATTATGTTGCATTTATTACATTATTCTTGCAGCAACAGAAAGCGTACAGTCCTCTATTGCCAAAGTGAAAATATATTTTCTTTTTTATTGTGTAATGAAACCAAAAATAATGAGTCGGTAAGTCCTACTTTGGAACATTCTATATTTAATTCAATGCGGTGGCTTTGAATACATGCATTGATTGCACAACCGATTGTACGAGTTTTCCTTGTTTGTTTGACCATGTGCCAGATGATCAGACAATAAAGAAAGCCAATTAAACCTCAATGCATTCAACATCATTTCTTCCCTTTTAAAAGAAGAAAACAGCCTCCACCTTCCCTTATGACTGACTGACTGACAGATAAGGTGATTTTGCAAAGTCTGAACGATTACTAAAACTCATTCAGCATGGGTTACATTTATATTCCATTGATGTCCTGTGAAAAAATATTTGTTCAAAATGTCTTTAAAAAATTAAAAAAGGGTAAAAAAAATTTCCAAAATACACATTTTGTGTGATTTGGTTGAAATATTCTGCACGATTGTGGCCTGACCAAAAAAAACGTGTTACAGAGTAAAACCTAGCAGCCCCACAGATCTGGAACATGGAGTGCTGTGTTAATATACATTGTGGATGTAAAAAAAACAACAACCTTTTAAACAGCACTGGAGCTTATGATCTTAAAGCCCTTGATAATGTGATTTTAAATCTTAAGTATGGTCTCTATTACATAAAATATTCACTATTCATACTAAATGTGCAAAATTTAAGTTTGTAAAAGAAAAAATGCACCCTTATGTGTTATTTATTAGTGAGTTTAACACAAACCTTTCAGGGTTTTTAAATACAGTTCATTAAGTGGTTGTTTGTGTTAATATTAAAAGTAATGTCAATCAGTTTTGGAGTGACAGCATGTCCCACTCTTGTGTCTGGATTTATCACACATGCAAAAAAAAACACAAGTTTCCACTAGATGGCATCATGATACCACTGAATGCATGTTGACAGCCATACGCAATAACCATGGAGAGACTGTTATGTGTGCAGACTTGATATCCAGGATTTTAAATATGTAACACTTCTACAACCCAAAATCTAAAGTTATACAGTACTATTTTTATCAAGTAGTTACTTTTATTTAGTATCCTCCAGTTTCATTACATGTTCTTAAGTCTCTTTCAATATGCTCAACCTTTTATTCCATCCTGACATCCTGAGAAAATACTGTAAGCTAAATATGATTGAACACTTCAACAGCCACATTTCAGCTTTGACCATTTGTTGCATATCACATGTAAACATTCCATTTTATACACTAGTCACATTTCCCCCAAATTTCCCCTGACATATTTGGTATTTCCTGGAAAGCTATGGAATCTGAATGAGATGAGAGTGAAAAGGGAAAAAAATGAAAAAATAAGTCCATTACAACAATGGTAACTCCATCTGCTGAAGAAGCCTTTGTGACACAACTAAAAGCTACAAAACCGCCACTAAATAGACCTTGTGAGAGACTGTTCTGTCAATGTTGTTTTCAAGTTCAAGTAAAAACTTTCAATCTCTAGTACAAAGTCCTAGAAAAGGCTCAGAAATTTTGACAGCTACATTTCTATGACAACTCCAGTGGCTGGCAAGGATGACTGCGTGAAGAAAAGCTCCTGAACAGCTACTAAACTGACCTTGTGGTGAGATTGCTTTGTCAACCAATGACAGAGTATTGCAGCTTTAGCAAATCTTCAGCAAAAAATATCTCCATGTTGTCAGAGGTTGGCCCTTTCTGCGTGGAGTTTGCATATTCTCCCTGTGATTGTGTGAGTTTTCACTGGGTGCTGCAGTTTCCCCTGCCATCAAAAACATGTAGGCCTATGTTAGGTTAATTCTTCTGTCAGTGCCCTTGACCAAAGCACTGGCTCAGAACTGGAGTAGGTCCCTGGGTGCTGCACAGTGGCTGTCCACTGCCGCTAACACAGGGTAAAATGCAGAGAACAAACTTCCCTACAGGGATCAATCATCAAGGATAATGTAATTTAGCAGTATGTAACATTTAGGAGGATCTATTGGCAGAAATGGAATACAATATTCATAGACATGTTTTCATCTGTGTATAATCAGCTGAAAATAAGAACTGTTGTTCTTATTATTAAGGTTTTTGTTACCTTAGAATGAGCCGATTTTCTTTACAGAGGGAGTAGGCCCTCAATGTTGAACTGCCATGTTTATACAGGCACCAGACAACAATGTTATTTAATGGAGAGGACAAGTATCAATCCCCCAAATCCCTAAGATCCTCGGCTTTATCTACATGCCAAAATATTTGTTGGCCTGACCGGAGCCTATACAGAACGCTGTGTGTACCGTGATAACGTTACCTTCTAACAGTGCTTAGCTTTGCCATTTTGTGCTATTAAGCTAATGTTAGACTCTCTTCATGTCCACAAAATGTCATCTACATCCCATAGTCTGAGGTTCTTATTGATTCCCTACACTACCAATAAATAGTGCATGCGAAACTTCAAATTGCCGTAGGTGGGACTTGGTAGTGATTGTGTATGTTACATTCTGCTGACCTGGAAAAGCAATGCTGAAACTTTTTTTTACTGAGATATGGACGGCATATCAAATAGTTATTCTGGCATAAACTGTTCTTCGGTCACCACTGTTTATACATTATACATAACACCCAAGGCTACCGATCCTTAGTAGTGTGTGCATTTGTGAGCATCAATTGTGTGTGTGTGATTGCTGGGTGCTCCGGTTTGCGACTGTAGATATAAGGACAAGTCTAGACAATAGATCAGCTATATGCACACACTTCAATGACTTTCATGACTTTGTTAGGTTGTCTTGGGATCATTTTCTTTTATCTGATGTACTGAAGCTTCAAGGATCTTCAGAAAAAAATAAGCTGAGTTTCTTTCTTCTTTCTCTTGAGCAGAGAAGAGGAGAAAGAGGAAAGTGGAGTGGATTGGAGAAGGGTGGAGATGGAGGAGAGACAAAGGCTGGCAAGGAAGGACGGAAAAGAGTGGGAGGAGTGAAAATAGCTGTCAAGAGAAAGAGAAGGCTGGTAGAGAGAATGAATGAGGCGAGAGGGAATTAGGCACCTAGCCAGCATGTCGATGTGGGATACACATGAGTTTGATGGGCCATATTTGTTTACTGGCTCCATACAGGCCTGATGTGTGTCTGCCCATGTGCAGGTTAATGGGGACAAGCTGAGTTACAAGTGGGGCCTGTGTGAGCAATGATCCTTAGGCTCCACACGGGCCCCTGCTTGTGTTCAGTATGTGGGCTAATTGATTGTGGGAAGGAAGATAGCATGTGGGTCAAAAATGTCCCATGTGTTACATCCGTTATTCATATGTATAGTAAACTTAAATGATGAGTTAAATATTTAAATCATTGTTGGTCACTTCTGCATCTTTCAGCTGCATGCACCTTTTGCACAACCAGATGCAAGGTGTTGAAGAAAGTGTGCTCTGATCCGATTTCCATTTTTGTATTTGATCTTATTTTCTATATTCTAAAGTAATTGCTGTACACAGGCAACAGATGAATACGAAAACAATTAGCTCCAGCACATTGTCGACACATCCGACACACCCTTCTAGTGTTTCTGCACCTGCCCACTAGATGTCTTCAATGTTGCTTTACCTGCACGGTGACCACCAGGTTGACTTTGTAATAAGCCACGTGGTTGTCCCGGTTTAACTCATTAACATATATAGATGGCAACTTGCTTCTGATTCATTTTCCATTTTGTCTTAGCGTATCAAATAGATTAGCGTATGTCATGTCCTGTGGCGGTGTGTGAGTGCAAGGACCCTAAGGATGCTGCACTTCTAAAGTTATTATCAACTTGAAACCAAGGTGGATCCTTTTGAATGAATTTTCCAGGATTAAAAAGTTAAAGAAGAAGAACCGGTGCAGGAATAATTCTGACGCCTAGAAAACCGAAAAAACAGATGCCAACTGCCTCACCTGTTACACCTGAAGGAATCGGAATGGAGGCCAACAGTGCGTGTGGAAATCCGCCTGAGTTGGCTGCATTATTCCGCACTAATAAGAGAAGAAATAAATGAAGAAGCCTCAACTGAATTGCTTAGAAGTGGGACTGAATGAGTGAAAAGATAAACTGGCTGATGTCGAGCTGGCACGTTATGGCACGCAAGAGAGGATGAATGAAGTAGAGAAAAGTAGGTAACACACTCCAAAAAGACAACAAAGAACTGAGAGAAACAACTGAAAGATTGGAACAGTTCAGCCATAGATTTAATATCAGAATATTTGGCCTCGCCAAAGATGTGGAAAAGGCTGATGATCATCAGAATGCAGAGATATTTTGCCAAAGAAAGAGAGAGTGCTGAATTTCAGGGGAATTAAAGTGAAAATCTTCCTGGATTTAACAGTGGGGGTGTTCCAAAAGAAAAGTGCAGTTCAAGGATCTCAGGATGAAATTACACCAGGCAGAAGTAAAACATGGTCTGATCCATCCAGCAACACTCATCATAACTTTTAAAGGAGAGACTAAATACTTCCAAGATCCTGGAACAGCAGAGACCTTCTTTAACCAAGCTATTAACGATTTGCTGTCAGTGTATTGGACTGATTAATGTGAGTGTGTATATTTGTGTAGCACTTTCACCATGTAAACTGTGAGGACCCCAGGAAGCATAGTGACTGCTTTACAGAAGCTAATGGGGATCTTAATAAACAACAAACAAACATATATACTGTTTGCGAACTGCTGATTAACTTCAGTTTGCCTGCCTGTTGCTCAATTTAAGGCTGAAACACCATCATGTGAAGTACATCTAGGCCTTACCTGCCTTGTCTGAAAAGCCTGCAAGGTCCAGTCTAATCTACCAATTGTGTTTTTGCAGATGGCACATCAGATCCAGGTGACACAGTATAACACTCAGTGCAGGACACACTGTACCCCTGGGACTCTGGAGTCAATGTCAGGCTGTACCGCCCTGGTGAACGTCTTCCAGGGCAGTTTGACGTCTCGGAGTTGCTTTGGAAACTCTAATTCAACAACAACATTGCCACTGGCTGATACATCCCCACTTCAATCATATCTTTTCATTTTTGGCACATGTAATCATGTTTCCGTAAGAGCTTAAGTTACTTTGTAATGATGAGCCATAACTGTATGTACTGGGTACTTTGGGTTTGTCTGACCTTAGTTGCACATTATGATGTTTTTACAGGGCAATACAATACTTGAATTAAACTGAAATTAACTTTGGACATTGCAAAACATGCTCTGTAACCCTGTCCATCT